GTATCTTAGATTAATCAATGTAATTGAGAGGATTTGAATCTTAGTTTGGTTTTGTTGGTTTTTGTTTTGTTGATTTGGTTTTGTACGGTATAAGTAGGTAATAGCCATTCAGACCCACACTCCATAACAGTTGGTGGCGGTAATGCATCATTTCGTTGCGTGCCAACCGCCAATAAAATCCCATAAAGAAGAAGAAGAACTGGTTCAGTGGCTGGGCAGAAAAAATACAGGGCATGGAGATGATTCGCTTACTCTTGACCAGGCATCCCCAAAGTCGTTCCTCGAGGGCTGCTGTCCTGCAGGTTTTAGAGGTTTCCCTGCTCCAGCACAGCTAATTTACATTGATTAACAGGCTTTTGCTGAACTGCAATCATAAGAATCGGCTGTGCTAAAGCAGAGAAACCTCTAAAACTTGCAGGACAGCGTTCCTTCATGACCGACTTTGGGGATGCCTGCTTTTTACTGTTCTGCTAATCAATTTGGCTCCTTTGGTCCCCGGTATACATGGGGTTGACCCAAATACTTCTCAGCCTTTTTGTTGATTCTCATTGGGTTTTACCAATTTAGGAATTAATAGTTCACTATAGCTAAAAGGTCTGTATAATCTGATCTACACCATCTTTGTTCAGTCCATCAGTTGCAATTTAGATAGGTTGCAAAGTCTTCCTCAGTCTCTTTTAGGCCATATGCATGTGCCCCTGGTTAAGATGAATATTCTTCCTCGTCTGTTGTGTTTGTTTCAAATGTTTTACCTTGTTTTGTCCAAAAAGTTTTGTCAAAGTAGCCAGTGTTGTATAGCAACAAAGTAAAATACTTCACTATTGTACTTAAGTGTATTTTGGAGAACTTTATAATTTCCTTGAAAATAACATTTTTGATAAATTTCACTTTTACTTCCTTATTATTCCAAAATTAATTGCATACTTTACTGCTATACATTTTCACTGTTTGATTTAGTTACTAATTACAAAAAAACTTGCCTGGGCTTGTTCATCACCACCACTAGGATATGCCCGTTTCCATTCTCCCATTAAACACAAAGCCAATCTTGCAATCAGCAGCAGCCACGTGGAAGAGGAGACGGAGAAAATCACAGTGACTGCAACAAAGTCAGACTCGGCTAAAGAGCAACCACCAGTTGGTGATGAAAGCCTGTGGTTGTGGCCTTAATTAAACACAATGTACTCTTCCCTGGGTTTACCTTGTCTGTTATGCCTGACTAAAAGATGTAGAAATTCTATCTTACAAAAACTACCTGTCCAATTTGAAGAAACACCAAGAGGTAAATTCTTATGAAATTGTTATAATCCTTCTTTTGCACTAATTATAGCTATAAGCAGGTTTGCCACATCCTGTAGGTTTACTAAGCCTGGTTTATCACTTAACCATGTTCTTAATATACACCCCTTAGTCTAAATTTAGCATGCACTTGGTTGTGTATACTATTTTAAGTGAGCTTGACCATCAAAGTTTACCAAAATAAAGGAAAATGTCATTCAAACTGCGTTTGCCTTGTTTTACTTTTTACTTATACTTTTCATTACATTCCTTGAGTACATACTTCTCAGGGTTCCCTTGTGTGTGTGTTTTGAGTGCGAGTGATGCATCTTCTCTTGGTGGACTACCTGGGCTGCCTACACAGGTGGAGCTCTTCAGCTTCATCAGACTGCTGGGATTAAAAGTGCAGCAGAGCCTTCACTCTGCGCTGGATGATTAACAGTTACTGGTCGTCTTCTGGCCATCTCTTGTTGAATCCTTTTACAGTTTGATTATCTCCAGTGAACTCGCCTGAGTTGCTCAATCTTGTTGCCTCCAGGTTTTTCTCACACTTGTTTTTTTTTTTTTTGAGGATTCAGTTCACTGACTCACCTTCCAGTGGATTAACCAGCTATTTAACTGCCTGCCCGCTCCACCTGCTATCATTTCCAACCCGGCTCAATCAGAACTCTGTAATCTCGCTCTATCAGAGGTAAACCATCAACCTCCCCACATGGGACCCAGACCATCTTCCCTCCACGGCCTGCTCAAGGTTTTCAGATGTAAGCTCTGATTCTTCAAATTCCCTATCAAAGGTTTCTGGACACAATTCTTCTCTCAAAATGTCTGTTTTTTCATTGTTTGGTCAATAAATCCTTTTTTTTCCTATTTTAACTGAGCTGATTCTGCAGCTGGGTCAGAAGATTAAACCCGAACATGACAATACTATTTTTACAGTAGTTTTCATACTTTAGTACAAGACATTTCAGATACTTTAAGGCTTTGACTCAAGTAACATTTCAGTCAGTGACTTGGACTTTTAACCAAAGTCATGTTTTGGAGAGCTGGCGCTTGCGTACAATTCAAAAATACACAAACAGCCGCTGGACATATCTTGCACCACCAAATCCTCTTTGGGCCTTTACCAACAAATTATTCCTTTTTGGAACTATCTAGATGCCTCTTCTGCTCAGAGAAGAAGACTGGGTTTATTGCATTAGGCCTGGCAACAAAGGAAGAATTGCAAGAGCATATACATAACCAACTAATTCTTGTGTTGGTATGTGTATGATCTTGACTGTTGTTACGCTGCACTGGAAAAAAGCTTTAAAAAATGATTTTGTAAAAAGATGAAGAATGCCGCCCAGCAAAAAATATAGCAGAAGTCTGCATACAGTCTATGCTTCATCTCTGTGATTAAGAATTTGGCACATTGAATGACTATGGACAAACCCACAATAGATTGTTCTGAAAGTTGAAACACGGTTACCATTAGTTTAAAAAAAGGGTGTGGCTATAAATATTTTACATCCAGTTATGAAGTTGTTGTCTCTGCCAGAAGCTCTTTTAGATATTTTTTGTTGTAAAATCAATCTATTTTAATGAATATCAAACTCTTATAACAGAGATGCAAGAGATCATAATAGTTTTTTAATTCCAGAAAGAAAGGGGTTCAATAGACCTGGAATTTCTAAAAGAGGCCATTGATTGAGAGAGAGAGAAGCTGTCAGGGTTTCATCAAAGTGTTGGCAGAACTCTTGAAGCTACTGTAGTAGTTATGGGACCCTCTATCAAGCCCAAGTTAAGCAGATTTACTCAGCTGAAAGATCTAGCTGTGTTGAAAAGATTCATTCTAGGTGGAGTATTGCTGCCACCCTGTGGTGTGAGATCTGGTGTAGGGTCACTGTCATGGGATAACTACTCTACATGCCATCAGAAAAGCGGAAAAACTAATAATGACTAAGCACTTATTTTTATTGTTACATCTGGTAGGCTTTTTTATGCTCTAAGTTTGTAATAATTGATTCTGAATTCTGATGACTCATAAGTTACTTAGCAGTTAATAAGAAAGATTGTGAAGTATTAAGTGATTATTTTCGTTTTACCTTTGGGTGTTTTTTTTGTTTTGTTTTGTTTGTTTTTTTTAGGCACAATGACAAACCAGAGTAGAAAGTCTTCAAAGCATTAAATAATTTTCAATTCAAAAACGAATGCTGTGTAGTTTTTTAAAATAAAGAACTAATGTGTATGTATTTAATTAAAGTATTTGATTATATTATAGCTGTATGAATAGACCTTAGTATTAATAAGTATAATATCTCCTTTAAGTGTTTAAATGTTCTTTTTGTGCATGAAGGAGGAGTTGTTTAGTAGAGTAGATTTTGTTGAGATACCTTGCAGACCAAACAGAAGTTATAGTCTTTGGACCAGAGTCTTTGAAAAAGAAGCTGATTAGCCAGTCACTTCATTTGGATGGGATTAAACTGATTTAAGATATTAAAGTAAAAAATCTTGTTGTTGTTTTTGATCAGGACCTGTCATTTAAATCCCATATCAAAGAGGTTTCTAGAATTTCCTTCTTTCATCTGAGGAATATTGCAAAAATTA